ACAGCAATGTGTGTAGGAGATACAGTGCAGTAGGTAGTGTTGTACTACTGCACACTGAGACTTACCCTGCTGCCACTCAACAGTTTGTGGGTGTCCAGTGGTCATAGTGGGGGGAGGGGTGGGAGTAAGGGAGAAAATTGTGTCTCCTGCAATGGACTGTGTGTGGGAGATACAGTAGGTAGGGGTTTGCTGTTGTACTACTGCACTGAGACTTACCCTGCTGCCACTCAACAGTTTGTGCGAGTCCAGTGGTCATGGTTGGGGGAGAGGGACACACAGCGTTCTCGCAGGTGCTGGGTGAGCAACGGCAGCAATCGAGGAGTAGGAGGCAGAAAAATACTTGTACCCCGCGTCGACTCCACCAACCACACCCTCGTTTCGTCCTTTCGCTTCGTGTCTGAAACAACTCTTCCATTTCTAGCTCTCTGTGCTTGCATGGCAACACGTACATAGGTGAAGTTACGCTGAGCTTTCCGCCACGTGTGCACGCGCACACTCAGCTCAGATTTGCGAACCATGCGCATGACATTTTTTGTGAACAGGAATGTGCTCACACAATTGTGTATGGTCTCACGAGTATGGATTCTTCAACTGGTTGTTTGTGTCCGTCTAGCGAGACTGAATGGAGATCCAAAGACCATAACACCACATGCCACCTTCACCCCCTTCCCCCCCTTCCCCACATAGTTTTCTTGTCGTGATTTGTTGCTATAATAATTATTATATAGACCGCACACACTCATTTTTGGTGCTCTTGTACACCCATTTCAGTTCAATTGCCAATCACCCATATTGTTTCTCTTATCGTGATTGTTGGTACTTCTTCCCTTGATTGTTAGCAAAATGTGCAAAGTGTTTTACTTTGCTTACTGGCAAGCGAAGCGAGCCTGCCTAGTGCGTTGCAACAGGGAAATTTTCTGTCCGATATAATAATTATAATGAAGTACACACGCACAGTATGACTAATCCAATTGGCAGCTCTGCTTGAAGGGAGCAAAAGCATCCTTGCAAAGAGATGGAACTACAAATCATTCCATTGTGTTGACAAGTTTTCTCATGTGGCTGGCTGTCAGTGAAATCAAAGTGCAAACCCTTGGGGGAGCCACGAGGTACAAATGGTATGACCGTATCACATCGGGGCCAAGCTACAGTCTAACAAGTCTTGGTGAGCACATAGCATGATGATAAAAAAAACACCCCTTATCGAGGCTTTCATCAATCCTTGCGACGGCGGGCGCATTTTAGACCATGCAGTTTTTGGCAGGCCGCGTAAACAACGGCCGAGCCCTCCGCAGCTCACGTTTCGTCTGTCTTTGCTCCCCCCCCCTCATCCCCGTTCTTTGTGTTGCTGCAGTCAATCACCGATAGAGTCCGGAGAAAGAGAGGGCGATGGGCAAAGTAGTAGTGGGGACCCGTGGCAGGGAAGTTCTGCGAGGCCCGCTCATGCACCGAAAGCTAGGGCTCGGGAGCTTGGAAGGTGAGGCAAATAGCCAAGCTAAGGCGTACATTCTGCCTGGATGTATGTTGTAGCTCTGAACGTGGTTGTTGTGCTGACTAGGTGACGACGGGGAAGGCCTTCGCCATCGAGATCTGCTTGCCTGGAAATGGCTTGCGTCTACTGCAGAGAAGCGTTCCTGCGTAGTGCGTAGTGCCTGTATGTGTACACCCGTACAAGACCAGTGTGGGGCGCTTCCAATGCTGTGTGTTGTAGGTTGAGCCCATTTTCATGATGCTAAACTGTGTCCCACCAGTCGTATATATCTGTATCTATCTCTCCCAGAGGAGAGCAGTCGTTGTGTTTTGTGGGAGAGAGAACAACGGGAAACTGCACTCTTCCTGCATGGCCCTGTATGACAACTGTGAGAACGTCGAGCAAGCCGGTGACAAGAAACCCAAGAAGATAATCCAGCTCGTGGATGCAAAGATTGAGGAACAGCCATACTCGACTCCCGTCCGTTCCCAGGGGTCGCCGGGGTCAGGTGGAACTCTGCTGGAGAAAGCCTGTCAGTTCCTGGTGATCCATCCCAATGAAGTGAACGAGTTCAGATCGGAGAGTGGTGGCATGAAAGTCCACTGGTCGAAGCTTCTCACACTACTGACGATGTTTCCGTACTCTGTCATCCCAGAGGAGCCTTCCTCCAACCCAATAAGCGAGAGATTCCGGTACAAAGTGGACCCCAAGTCCTACGGAGCAGGTATAATTCACACTACGTTGATACCAGTATACTCCACATGGGGTTCAATAATACGCCATTTGTAGTTCTTGTGTTAGCCTTTGGTGTGGTTTGGGGGCAGTTAAAAATTGGCAACGATTGTGCGTGGGCATTAGTCGCGGATCGGTGCAAAATACCCTCAATAGGTTAGCTTACATTAGCGCGAAGCTCGTTGCACCTTCGTTTCTCCCCCAATAACTGGCGTACGTGCGAACGCGGACGCACAGTTACTGGCCTCCGTTACGCCCCTTTTTCTGGGCTACGCATGCGCACTACAGCGCTTCTCATGAATATTCAGTATTTCAGGAAGGGTCATGAGGTCACTGGTCACGACGTTGCAGCCCGCCATTTTGCCCCGGGAAATTTAGTACCACGCCTCTTTCGCGATTGTGCATGCGCAGTAGACGTTTGCGTCACGTGCCTTGACTTTTCGACGATGACATAATTCAATAAGAAAGGGTGTGGTTATTACCATCACAAGCGCATTGCGGAGTGTAAATTGCCTGCGTATGTGCATATGCGCAGTGCGAAAAGCTCACGTGATGGCGCAAAATCTTTGTAATATACGTACGTACACGTGCGTGCGTATGTACTTACACTGCTTGATTGATCGATCGACGTGTGCAGCTTTTGGAGCTCTGTATGGATGTTCTTCGTTCCTTGCTGGTGAGTTTAGAGACAGATGTACAGTGTACGGTAGTTACCACACCCTGCCCGTTTGCGTGTGGGACGGAGTTTTTGTAAAACGGCGTGACAGCCGCGAGAGGCACTGGAATAGTGTCCGAATAGTGTATATAGAGTGGGTATTGATCCTTTGTGTCACTGGGTAATCTCTGTACCAGCCTTATTCAGTTCCCCGCACTCCCAGGCGCACCGCTGAGCCATTTCATCGGTATTAGTATTTGTGATACTCTCTTGCCAAGGGGAGGGGAGTGGGAGGGAGAGCATTGCTAGCCGAAGGGAGGGGAGGGGGTACGCGGAGGGGAGGGGAGTGGGTTGGAGCATTGCTAGCCAAGGGGAGGGGAGTGGGAGCATTGCTAGCCGGGAGGAAGGGAGTAGGTTGGGGCATTGCTGGCCAAGGGGAAGGGAGTGGGTTGGGGCATTGCTGGCCAAGGGGAAGGGAGTGGGTTGAAGCATTGCTAGCCTATCTTTGCGTACTCTCTCCTTCCTCATTTCCCCCCTTCTTTCTCTTCTACCGATGCGGAGAGAGGCAAAACTTGTTAGGTTTTGCAGGACCTATTGCCCCTATCTCGTGTATCACAAGCTGCTCAACATTGCTACTGGTGAGCTACAAAATTTCATCAAAATCCACTGCTATCTCCTAGGGATACCAGGTGTAGTCGGTATTCTGAATGAGTAGCTGTCCTTTTTCCCCTCACATGCCGTATAAAAGAACGAAAGCAATCACCAGGTGTAATCAAGGTGTTCCCAATGAGTAGCTGTCCTTTATTTTCCATCACATGCCGTATAAAAGTACAAAGTGCCGTATAAAAGTACGAAAGCAATCACCAGGTGTAATCAAAGTATTCCAAATGAGTAGCTGTGCTTTATTTTCTCTCACATGCCATATAAATGTACAAAAGCAATCACCAGGGTATTCGGAATGAGTAGCTGTACTTATTTTCCCTCACATGCTGTATAAAAGTACAAAAGCAATCACCAAGTGTAATCGGTATTCTGAATGAGTAGCTGTCCTTTATTTTCCCTCACATGTCGTATAAATGTACAAAAGCAATCACCAGGTGTAATCAGGGTATTCCGAATGAGTAGATGTCCTATATTTTCCCTCACATGCCATATAAAAGTACGAAAGCAATCACCAGGCAATCACCAGGTGTAATCGGTATTCTGAATGAGTAGCTGTCCTTTATTTTCCCTCACATGCCGTATAAATGTACAAAAGCAATCACCAAGGTGTAATCAGGGTATTCTGAATGAGTAGCTGTCCTTTATTTTCCCTCACATGCCGTATAAATGTACAAAAGCAATCACCAGGTGTAATCAGGGTATTCCGAATGAGTAGATGTACTTTATTTTACCCTCACATACTGTATACAAGTACAAAAGCAATCACCAATTGTAATCAGGGTATTCCGAATGGGTAGATGATACCGTAATTATGATACGCGGGAGAAATTCAAATCTCGGCAAAAAGCGGTTCAATCGACTCCTCTCTCAGCGCTCAGTTCAACCACACGTCTCTCGCGGCTTCCGATGCAGAACCGGCGGAGATACGGAGGTTTGTATTTCGCGCCTCGTATGACTCTGCGCATGCTCAGTAAGCGCCGCAGCTCCTCAATAATCTTTCAGTAGGCAAAACGTCATCGGTAATGAATATTCAGTAGGCAATAATGGCCGTGTGGCACGCGACTCCAGCTTACTATGAATGACGTAAGGGAATTTAGGTCATCCCCAAAAGGGTGTGGCACTAACCCTGTGTTGAATTATGCATAAGTGAAATTGGTATGCGTATGTGCATATGCGCATTGCAAAGAACGCATGTGGCACTTGTTTCGAAAGAGAGAGTGTGCAGATGGACTCGTCGAGCGCTTTCGGAGGAAGTCTGTACGTGTTTAGCGCAGGCAAGGTGGCGAATAGCTACAGTGTAAGGCATATGCCCGTACCTTGCCTATTTTTGTGACTGCAGTACTACTATGACACAATGCTCCCTCCCTCAGGCCTGACCACTATTGTTCACAATGCAACCATCCTGCATTTCTCTGACCACTACAGTCCCGCTCGCTGTCACAGAACATTTGCGCATGCTCTGGTGTTACGAAATTTAAAAAAAAACTTACGGATCTACGAGACAAGACTTCACCAAATAGTAAAGATGGTCTTTCAGTTCTTTAACAGAGGGTGCAACATTTTGATATTCAACTTTTGCAGTGGACACAATCTTGATGATGGCATATGGGTTACCCTTTATAAGTTCAATTTAAATAGTTCCATTGCTTCAAGTCTGTTAGGCAAAATAGACCTCTACTCAGTCTGTAGTGATCTAAGCAGTAAAAGGCCTGCAGGAGACATTCGCATAATGCGCTTGGTGGAAGTGGCTCAGTTGGAAGAATGGGTTTTAGTTCAAAAACTGCCAGTGGCAACTTGCTGGGCAATACCACACCAGGCAGTACCTGAAAACAGAATTAATCAGAAAGTTGTGGTCATGAACATTTCTGGATTTACAGTGGTAACAAAATGCTGGACTAATTTCGTATCACACAAACCACCTTTTTCCACTATGCAGGAGATTTGAACAAACCTTTTTGTAAAGGGCGACCCACTTCTCGCCACTCTGGTCATCATCTGTATCATTGTCGTCCCCAACATCATGGTCAAGAAGGAGAGATTTTGGATCGACAGCCAGGGCCACATCAGCAGCATAGTTCGGGCCCCTCTTTTGAGGTCGACAAACATCAAATTGGAAGTCAACCATTACCCTGCTTCCCAGTAGGTCACTAAACACGTATGCAACGTGGTAGAAAAAATCAACAAAAGCATTTGAACTCGCTTCTTTTGAACGAATATGAGCAGTATAGTGAACCTTCTTTTTTATGCATTCGCTTAGAGCTTTGAGGCTTTCTAAGGATCCCACAGGCTCCTCTGGGCCAGACAAAAATTCGCCTTTCTCCATGATGTATTTGTTTAATGCATATGCATCCAAAAAGCTTATTCCAAGAAGGATTCGAACTATGTTCAGATGGCCATGGTCGGCGACATTGCTTGGCGGCAACAGCTTCGACATAACTAGTCTTCGGAGCTCATCTGAGGAAAAAATTGCATTACTATAAAGAACTCACATTATTTGCATTACTCATTTACCTTCTTTCGCTTCTGGTGTAAATGTAGTCCAAACTTTAACCTTCTTTTTAGGGGGAGAATTAGTTGTCTCAGAATTTGTCTGAGTAACTGTCTCACAGTTGGTTTCAGATTCAGCCATTGCTGTTACAAAAGAAGTTATAGAGTAGTTTTGTTTTTAACCCTCGGCACACATGCACATCGAGGGTTTAAGTACTTGGTCGGTCTGTGTGTCTCTTTGTTACCGCTAATCTGGTGTGACACCCAACAAGGTGGCAAAAGAGCGATATCAGCAGCATCAGTGTAACGGATTTTAAAAAGGTGTTTTTATTGAAACTACTGCGTTCAGAAGCTATGGCATGAAACACAAGTGAAAAAGCCAATATGCTATTGAGCAACAGGTTACCTCGTCGAGTGTTTCCCTATTTGATGCACTGTGGAGGCATGGACTCTAGTATTGCACAACCCCTGATGCAGCTAGTCCGTCTCAGAGCGAGAAACTGACACTGCCAGCAAAACATACCAGCAATGTACATGCGTATAGTGGCAGGGAATTTCAATACCTGTACACTCTGTGCCAAAGGGATTGCACTTTAGTGCTTTGGACTAAGTCAGGCTGTAATGGATTTCAATTTCAGCATGGGCTAGCTACATCAGTAGGTAGCGTTTTAGGCAATGCTAGTCCACATACTTGCCCTTCATGTAAATTCTGATGCCTCCACCGTGTTGACACACATGCTGGGTCCTTCACAAACAAACGTGCGTGGTCTTAGCATGCTGACAAACAGTTTGCCTACAATCCTACGACCTTATACTTGAAAACTTCCCTTTATGCTCGCAGACGCACCACGAAGGCTCGCTTTGGAAAGGCCACATGCTCACGCATGCACTCGGGTGTATGTCATTTTGAGCCAGGATAACAAGGTGGGAGACTCAATACAGGCCTCGTTCCCTATATAAACAAGCAGCTAGACTCCAACTTTGGTTGAGGCAAATGCTGGTCATGCAGCCCCGCCCCCTCTTACAGATAAAGACGTATGCTTCACGTATAATTATATGCGCATACTAGCTCCGCGGAGCCATGCGCTGCTAGGACATATTTTCTCGGGAGGCATTGATAAAGTGTGGCTCCACGAGGTTTATGCGTGCGTTTTACGCCTCGCCTACATTTTTCTGTGTAAATCACGGGTCCGTAGAAAACAAAAAAGGCAACGGTTCTGCGCTAAATTCCCGTAACGCGCCTGCACATTCAAGGTAAACATTAGTCTGCACTTGGGTTTTTTAAACAGTGCACGGGTCAGCGGGTCTAGGGCGATAAATGCGGGCCTGACCCACCTAATGCGGGTCACTTGGGGTCTATGAGCTATGAGTAGGTGGTAATTTGGCTAATGGAAAAGTGACATGGAGGGGAACTGACGACCAACATTTATTTTCCCAAGGAGTATATACGAGCAAAACACACAGCAAGACCACTCCAGAGGAAGGTCCAAGGAAAGGCTAGTGCCATGGGACAGGTACAGTTACGTAGGAAGGGAGACATGGCCCAACAATCAGCTCGGGGAGGGGTGACCCATTATTGGCGAGCGGAACCTAGTCGCCATCTATACGTCTATATCAGAGGTGGTCGGCCACGATTAATTATTCATGAGTACGTGGTGATGTTTAGCAGGTGTGGTTTCGTCATGGTTCGCTTGGCCTGTGTAGGAAGGCTATGGAGGAACCGTCGCGATAACATAAAGTTTGGACCCTTCTCAACTAATCCTGAGCTGGAGAAGCTGCAAAGGGAGCAGTGGTGAGCCAAACACGGCACGTTTTTAGCGTGTGTGAAAAGCGGTCGTGTTTGTCGGGCAGTTTCGTATAAACCGGGTGCGCCAGAAATGCACAGCCTTTTGCAGTGGGTAGAGCTGATTCAGGAAAATATGAGTTTCCCCTGACATATAGAGCTGTAAAGTTGGAGAATTTTCACACATTACTAGGCACTTTACAGCCATTGTTAAGGATATAGAGCAACTGTGTGCTGATTTGTTTACATCGCCCTATAGCACTTTCAGAGAGCTTCACTTTGATACCCCATAAATGTTGGCTACAAGTAGCAAATGGGGAGTTGTAGATTAAAACATGTAGGACTTAATGCACAGTACTCCAAGATGTATAATGTCCCAAACTGTACTTAGTCATCTTGTTCAACTGGCCTGTGGTGGGAGATTTGACTTCATTACGTAGCCCACAGTTGATATGGAGACGGACCCTTCTGAAATATAATTGCTCCATATCCTCGAAAATGGCTGTAAAGTGCCAAGTAATTGTGAAAATTCTCCAACTTTATCTCCAAAACCGAGACATGTCGGAGGGAAAACTCATACTTTCCTGAAGTTCTACATTAGCTCTATATACCCGCTGCAAAAGACTGTGCATTTCTGGCGCATCCGGTTTTTACGAAACTGCCCGACAAACACGACCGCTTTTCACACACACTAATAAACGTGCCGTGTATGGCTCACCACTGCTCCCGCCACCAGCCTCTTTGCAGCTTCTCCAGCTCGGGACACAACCTATTTTTTACCTTATGACTGACTTGAAAGCTTTGTTGTCACTCTCCTTCATACATTTATGTAGTTTTTGTGTTCTTTGTATCAGAGTCTATAGTGTAGGTGATTGTGTTCCACCTACTACATACCAGAATGGAGAACATTGCTGTAAATAAGTAATCCCACAGGCCTATATAAGACACTTTCAGACTACACTGAACTTAATGTTGCTGAGAAATAGTATCTGGGGTAAAAAATAGATTGTGTTTATACCTAGACAACATAGATTTGTTCTGGACTTCACCCAGGCGACAATATAGGGATTGTGTCATGGGCTTGGGGAATGTAACCCACCTCACAATGTGGATGTCATATGTAAACCATATCCCATCCCTATTTGGTCTCCCTTCCTTTTTATACCATCCCTATATTCCCTCTACTTTAAATTCGTAGAATTTTTTATTTACTTGTCTCTATATACACTTATGTATTATTATGTCTCTAAGTGGGATTTTTTATAATTATGCCTGAGGCTATTTGCTGTTGCTTATAAACATGGTAAGGATGCAATACACATGTGTACCAAGTTTGATGTCCATATCTTCTACTAACATGCCTGAGGCTATTTGTTGTTGTTTACAAACATGTAATCATATTAGGTGACATGGTGAGGATGCAAAACACATGCGTACCAAGTTTCACTACTAGCAAGTTTGAGGGTTGAAGAAGTTTGAAGGAAATGTGCCTGAAGCTATTTGTTGTTGTGTACAAACATGTAATCATGCTAGGTGACTAGGGATGTTA